CCAGGGTGCGGTGCCTTGCTAAGATGGATGAACAGGTGGGAAGAAATTAGGTCAGCAAATATTATAAAGGGGCGCGGTGTTGTTTTGGAAACAATGTAGGAGGGAGAGCAAGCGAGATCTGGAACAAGGGAGGGATGGAGGAAGAGGGGAGTGAGGCTGGCACTAATGACGGGTGCGCCCAGGGCCACACAAGTACAGCTGTCTCCCCTCCCAACTTCAGCAATGTCAGATGAGCATAATAAAACCCAGTGTGTTGGTCTGTGCTCGCAGGAACAGCTGGGTGGCTCGGTGGAAAAAAACAGAGAAGTGAACAGCAGAGAAGAGAATCGTGCATCACAAAATCCCATCGTCTCAGCTTGGAGCTTTTCTGAGCTTCTCGACCAAATCCCAGCGACACTCTCCGAGGCTGTCATTTTAAAAAGGAGCAAGCGATGGTGGACTCTGAAACCTCTGGCAGCTTGGAGCAAACATTTTGCTTTCATTGAGTTTCCAGTGGCTGACGTAAGAGTGTGTCCAGAGTGCACTGAGTCATACGTATTCAGGCTCTGCCCACCACCTCGTCTTTGTTTGTGCCCTTTGTGGCCTCGCGAACAGGGATGTTCGTACACACATTACATGATGTCATACATACTCCTCCGACCTCACCTCACACCCAGTGTCCCTTATCGCTGATATCATACTCCTGCAGGTCTTACAGGGCTTAACCCCCCCACACACACACACAGATAAAGTCAGCTCAAAGACTATCTATACCGGACTTGATCTCTACATATTATTTTATTGGACGGACCCACATGTAGGAGGATATCTGCGTGTCTGACTCACTCCTTGTCTGTCTGACCACCCCCTCCTTCTCGCCTGCCAGCTCTCTCTTTGTGTCTCTCACTGTCTCTTTCTCCTCCTCTCTCGCTCTGTGTTTGTCTTAATCACGGCTGAGGTGATGTGGGCCGGGCAGAACCAGTGGATAATGTGATTAGAAGGGGCTCAGGCACAAAGTCTCCACTCTGATCATTCCCGTCTTCTGGGACTTCAGTCACATTTGTTGGGGATCTCTGTGCAGAAAATGGCCCCGATAAAGATCTTCAGGCTTGTTACTTAAGGTGTTTGAGCCTTGCCTCCTTTTAGCCTTGTTTTTAAACGTGGGTATGAGTGTGTGAACCTGCACAAGATGTCTGTGAGCACAGCCGCAGAGCATCGAAGCCAAAGGGGAATCGTGGGCTAGGCATGGGCAGCACATCTGTGGCAGTTTAAAGTTCATGTGTGTGCACGTACATACATATTTGTTATCACCGTGTGTGCAAGGATACTGTGTGCGTTTCTCAGACCTCCAGAGGCTTCACAGATGAATGAAGCACTGGATCAGGTAAGCCGGGCGACAGTCCCCAGCATGTGTTTCAGTCGCCCCCCGGGGGATTCTGGGTAGTCTGTCTGCCAGACCGCTGGGGGCATGAGGTGAGGAGAGGAAGAGTAGCTCTGGATGAGGACAAAGATGAAGAGGGTTTTGTTAATCACAAGATTCTGCTGGCAGTGTTTGTGGGTTCTCGCTGCTCTTGATGGAAAGAACCAAGAGAACGGACCAGACTAGTCATGGGAGTAGGAAGTGTGTGTGTGTGTGTGTGTGTGTGTGTGTATGTGTTTGTGCGTGCGTGCGTACAACTGTGTGTGTGTGTGTGTGTTTGTGCCTCTTCTGTGGCTTCATTATTGCCCTATTCCCTATTCCCTCTGACGTTCCTGTCTGTGACCATGTACCATCAGCCCCTCTGGCAGCTACATCCATGACAGGTACAGAGAGATAGAGAAAAGCACTCTGTAGGAAGCAAATCTGTCACCGCGCTAACCAAAACATGTCAGTGTGGCGGTGCTGTGTGTCCCGGTGCAAGCGTGTGCGTGGCGGTGCAGTGTGGATAGCTGATTGGAATTCAGGGCGGCTGCAGTGAAGAGTATATTTCACAGCTTTAGAGACGGAGGGGACGAGTACAGAGGTTCTGAAAGAGGTGGAACGACTGGTTCCTCTTGCTGTGAAGTGTGTGTGTGTGTGTGTACTGTATAATACTGTGTATTTTTGTAACCTCTTCAAGACCTTATCCAGCACAAACCCTTGTCACCTTGTCAGGACCAGTAGACCTCATGGAAACTAAAGTCTGATTCTCACGAGGCAAACCTTCATTTCTGAGGTTGTGGTTATGGGTCAGACGTGAACTGTGGTTACGTTGAGGTTTGGTTAGGTTGGCCACTATGAATGGAAGTCAATGCAAAGTAAGGATCACAGCAACAATGTGTGCGTGCCTGCGAATGTGTCTGGCCTCGGTATTACTCGTGTTGTTGGGGTCGAAATCACACAGCCCCATCTGTCCTCCTATTAACTTAAGGTTGGGTTTAGGTTAAGTTCAGGTTAACTTTAAGTTAAGGTTAGGGTTGGATATGTAGTAGCTATGGTTAAGATTAGATTGCGTTTCCAGGAAATCAATGTAAGTCAATGTAATGTCCTCTGAAGTCATGCTGACACAAATGTGAGTGTGTGTGTGTTTGTGTGTGTGTGTGTGTGTTTTCCTGGCCTCGGGGGAGCCAGCTCCTCTCTGTGGGTTAGGCTGAGCCCATCTGAGTCTCTCTCCCACCCCTCCAGCTGTTTCCCCCCCACCACCACCACCTCCAACCTCCCCCCTCCAGCAGCATCCATCCAAATTCACCTCCTCCCAGTCTCTGTCTCTTGACTCTGAGCCCGGTGCCGCTCAGATGAGAATAAATAACAGTTCTGCACTTGTGTGTTGTTTGTGTTTTTTGCCTCCAAACTACGGTGCCGATTTGAATTGCAGATAATCGTGGTGCAAAGTAAAAAAGTTGAGCGCTGGATGACCTGTAGTTGTTTTGCACTGACCGCTGTAGCACAGTGTTTTCTGAATTGACTCCAGCTTAGACTGCGCCACAAGCGGAGCGGTATGAATTCCCATATAAGGCAGGAGGACCCTTTCTAACCTCCTCCCTCCTCCTCCTCGTCCTCCCCCACTCTCACTTCTCAACCCCCTCACTCCCTCACAGCAACCAGCTCTCACTGTCAGCTCGCTCTTCCCTTTCTGCTGAGACTGTGGTCCAATGCCCTTAAGACACACACACACACGGACAAATATCTTATCCAGGGTTGGCTGAGAACAACAACACTGTGTGTATCTCTCTGCTTGAGCACTGACACTTGTCATTTTGTGTTTTCATTCTGTCACTCGCTGAGGTACCTGTCTGGACATCTTCATCGCTGCATCACTGTCAGCCACACAACACAGAAAATATGAGACCACAACTTCAGACCAGTCTTCACAAATCCAATGGGAGGGATGAGAAGGGAAGAGGGAGGTAGAGACGGATTGAGGGGCGAGGATACTGACAACGGAGAGAGAGAGAGAGAGAGAGAGAGAGAGAGAGAGAGAGAGCGAGAGTGAGAGAGAGAGAGAGCAAGAGTGAGAGAGAGTGAGAGCGAGAGAGAGAGGAAAAAACACAAACAGAGCCGATAAGGCCCTCGGCAGAGGAAGTGTCGTTCACAGCCAATCCCCTGTGGACTCCCAGAATCCCACTCTTCCCCTGATGCAGGATGTGTCTCCGTGTGGGAATACGCGAGGAATGTGGCCCCTTTTGTTTAGTGTGCGATAGGCTCCTGGTTGGCGGTCATTTGTGTGTCTTATGTGTGACAAGCTCCAGGCTTGGCAGAGGCTGATCAGAACAGTCCTTTCTGGGTAAGACCCTCCCAGGAAAACAATGACTGGTCTTATGGCTGCTATCTCTCAAAGCCCCTCCTTGGCTGATGGAGCAGTTGCTGGGCTCTCGCTTCGCTCCATATCCCCAGACTACAGATTAAACAGAGGTTTACGAAGGCATCTACCCCTAAAGCATCATCAGATAATCTCAAGCAGCCCTTCACTGATGCCACTCATCATAAAAGTGCCAAACGTGTCATTCAAGGGGACGATATTTAATGGTAATGACCTGGATTTATACAGATACCAGGGCAGCTTTACAGAGGTGAAGGAAATAAATCAAATGTCCTGTCACCATCAGCTCACAGGCTGGTGATGGGGTTGGATAGCAGACCCATGTCCCAAGACAAACAAGGGGATGAGGTATAGAGGTAGTGCTGAGGGCAAGTATTTATAAGATGCTAACAAAGTAAATGAAAGTAATTTTACTTTTATGTATTAAATTAAATTGTGTAATAAATACATTTCCATACAACTGAGCTGCTAATGTGTAGTTAGCCTAGTGAAGTACAACACAGTACAACAGCTCACAGAGTAGATCACCCTCAGGCTTTCATATCCCATGACCTGTTAACGACATCTCTTTTTTTAACTATATAGTTTCCTCTCCATTACCTAACTGTTTTAAACATTTAACCTTAACTTTGAGCATTTTTACCATTTATCCAATACTCTTATTTGCTAATTCAACAGCTTGTCCATGTTTAGTTTTTTCATTACTCACCAAATACATTTAACATGAGCTAATTCAACATTTTTCAATTGTAGCTTTTTCACTTTTTAGCAAATATTTTTACACTGGCTTTTCCATAAGTTTATGTATTTTAGGAATTTTAAGCCAACTTAGGTAGCAGTTGTCAGGTTCTTTGATTTGTTCTCAAGAATCAAACCAGTGATATTTCTAATTCCATCCAATGAACCAACAGCTCTTTTATCAGAAATCAAGCATTTGATGACTAGAAATTGAAACCACAGCTGCTACTCTAGAAATATAGTTTAAATATTTCACACAACCTGCTGGGGATTCCCCCTCTGATAGCTGCTCCTCTCTTAACCCAAGGCATTAAAACAGCCTTTAAATAGAAACCTAAAACTGTTAAGGCCTACCTTGGCCTTTTATGTAATAATGCATCCACACAGACAGAGCTTTTCAGCTTGAGACTATGTCCTACACTAGGTGTGCTACCTTGTAGACCAGTAGGGAAACATGATTTCTTTATGAGAGCCTAGCGGGCAGGAAGGACATTGAGACAGAAAACAAGGCAAGGTGAGGTTTATTGAAGTATTCATGACACTTCCTGTGTGTAGCCCTGGTGATGACAGTCTGAAAACACAGTGATATAAGCACTGTTTAGTAGTCGGGACTCGGAGCACCTGATCTAAAATAAAGACCCTTCACTGACTACAACCAAGTGCTTTACATCAGAAATCGTCAAAATGACATCCTGTCTCCGCTCGATGGAGAAGAAAGGCCAACATTCAGTTTTGGCACTACTGAATAGGCTGAAGAAGAAGAAAACATCATGTAATAATGATTATACAAGTAGATTTTTTTAGTGTCAAGTTTTTACTACCAATATTTGGTATTTTCTTTCAAGCTTTTGCCTTAAAAACCTAAAGAAGGCTGAACAGGTGTAGTGACGAAGGGGTTATCGCATTCAACATACAACACATCACGGCATGTTTTTTCATTTTTCATTCATCCGTTCACTTTCGAAAAAAACAACAACCACATCTTTGGTTCAATGGTTAATTTCTGTGATGAACAAATACTTTAAGTGAGCAGAAGGAAGGTAGGAAAGCTGTCAGCAGGCGTGTGTCCCACGTATCCTTCAACTGATTTCAAAACGAGTCGTTTGATATGTTTCACTTCCTGAAGCGTTGAGAGGATCCCTGCTGTTCGGAGGCCACCGTTTCTCTATTATTTATGAGAAGTTTGGTGCCAAGTTTTTACAGCGTCACCTCAATTACCACAAGAGCCTTTCACGCCTGACGGGGAACGTCAGGCCGCATTTATCAACCTATCAAACTTAAGAGTCAATTAGCTCGCGTATCTTTGCAGAGAGCAGACAACTGCTGTGGGTATATATGCAAAAAAACACGCGATGACTGCTGAACACAAACATGTTGCATTGCACGGCAGAGAATAAAAGTTTTAGACATAAATGTGTCACCACAACTCGTCACCAAGGACAGGAAGTCTGACAGACGTGAGAAAGTAATTTTTTTTACTTGACAGACATCACCTTGGTTTTAATGTCCGGGGTTTTTTTTTTGAAAGCATGGGCCTGTTTTGCTTTCAATCAAGACCTGGTAATGGTGAGTCAGACACAGAGGTGGGATAAAACAAAACTGAGGAGAGAGCCAGGGACACTCTTTATATTAATATAAACTGTCTGCTCGTTCACTCAGCCAGTTCACTGCTCGTGTTTTGTATCTCTGCAGGAAACTGAAATGTCTTTACATTCTTGCAGTCTCACTTCTCAAGTAAAATCCTTGAGTTTTACTGCAAGTTTTGTACATGTGACAGAAATCAATGCAACTGCTGATATGCGCTGGGTTCAAATCTCGAGCCAGGCAACTCTAGCTGCTCGTCGTCCCACATTCAGCAGGAGACGTTCTGTCAAATCTCGGGCCGACAGAAACAAAAAGTCATAAAGATTTTCAGAACTGGAGCATGTGATGTAAGCTACATTCAGACGGCCCCTCAACCTTCGTCTGTTTATCAGCGCCTCCTGGGGGAGTGTGAACTCTTGCCTCTGTGGTTCTGCAACGAGGCGACACCACGGTCAGTCACACAGGAAACTGAGAAGACAGGCGACATCACATCCTGCCTAGGCTTCGGAAGAAACACTTCCTCCTTAAAAAGCAGCAAGTGCAAGTACTAAAGACTTGAATCTCTCGTGACGGTGCGGTGCTGAGAAATGAGCTGTGAGATACTGCGGCTGAAGTTTTAAAAAAGAAATATGGAAGACGTGTGCCCAGGTGCCTCTGTGGAGAAAAGCAGAATAGAATATATTCACAATGATCTTTGGAGGGGAATTACATTCACAAATATTTCAAGTGAATAAAAAGGTTATAACAAAGTCATGTGATTAGCCTGAGGCAGAGTTTCCATCACACACACTCACACAAACACACACACACTGTTATTGGCTATACGTTGAACCTGAGGTCCAAAGGATTGTTTGACAGCAGGCACCTTCTGTTCCCTGCTTTGTGTTGCTACTGGTAGTAAATACATGAAGGCAGTAGTGACAAAAAGATTTGCAGAGGCAGACACATTGCTCACTTGTGTCAATCACTTAGAAAATGTCCCCGTGATTACCAAGAGATGTGAATAGGGAGGGATGTTGTGCATCTCACCTCCAAACTGGCAGTGAAAAAGATGAACAGCAGCCCTGGTGGAACAGTCTGTTCGCTAATGTGACTGAAACCATCCTCCCACCACTCTTATTATCTGCTGACGAACAACACCTATATATTTTTCCATACAGGCTGCGCTTCTCGGATCAGCCATCGCACATTTACAAGACGCCGCCACCACCACTGCTCTTGTTCGGCAGCAACAGCAGCACAACAAGAGCAGAGGAGCTGAGCAGCCCTCCACTTAAGCAGTCTCCGTTTGTTCACTTCAGTTTTTGTTTTCTGAGCGTCTGCCCAGAGCAGCCAGCCAGCCCCCTGGTTGCCATCAGGGCTTCTTGGCTGCAGTTTTGGCTTTCCCGTTGGGTCCTGTTTTGATCTGGGTCATCTCCACATCTGTCAGGGCGTCGGGGGGAAGGCACGAGCGCATGCGTTCTATGGTCTTCTGGTGAGCTGCCCTCTCCTGCTCCAGAGAGCGAATCGTGTGCTTCATTTTGCTCTCCCGAGAAAGGAAGTTCTCCACGCTGGTCTCAAGCGTCTGGATCTTCTGCCGCGCAGCCTGGAGGACACACACCATGTACCTCAGTAAATTTCAGGGGGTGATACAAAGATTTTCAACCCAGCAGCAACTAGCAGTGTGACTTTGTTCTTTATCCTATTTCAAAATATCGACAATAAAGTGCAACCAAAGAAGACTGTAGTTAACGTAGAGGCTTGTGTTGATAAAGAAACAAGTTGAAATCACCAGGATTCTAAGAGTCTGTTAAATTTTCTTTGTCTGATCAGAGATCAGCTCTGTGACCTTCATTAATATGCAGACTGTGCATGGATCTACATGTCAGTGATCAAAGTGACATAAGAATATTTGGATATCTAAAGCAGTAAATTCCTTTGTCTCTCTATCACTTTCATTGTTTTTAATTTATGTTTTAGCGCCATCTACGGGCAGTCTGAGACACTACCAGTGGCAGCTGTGGAGGATGTGTAAACTCACCAGTTCATCAAAAGAGGGAAATCCCCACATTTACTCATATCTTCTCTCAGTGATGTAGCTTTGAAATAAAATACACTATTTCTAATTTTGTTTAAATAACCTGCTGCTGTTTCCCAAAATCACTGGTGTTGGTGGCAGATAAAAAAGATTTATGTTTCTCTTGATTACCTGAAGTTTTTCTAGAAGGTCCATGTTCTGTTTCTTCAGCTGAGTGTTCGTCTTTTCCAGTTTGTCGAGCCGGTCAGAGTCGTCGGGCAGCGGTCCGGCCTCGATCATCTCATCCTGAAGGACGTGGTACTCCACCTCGTATGTATGAAGCTGCTTGGAGATGTCCATCTCCATTACCTGGTCACACGGGGAGACAGACGCCATCAAGCAATGAATCATTATAGACCATGGAATTATAATGTCCAAGGAAATGTGTCTGTATCGAGAGAAACGTTCTGTTTTTGAACCCGACATTTACATAATTTACATCGCCCAGCTGACGTTAACCACCCCGACCCGAGTATGAATATCATTTTGAATTTCTTTCGCCATGCCAAGCCCGACGGGTCCTGACGGGCTCGGGTCCAGTATCCACACTCTTGCACACGAGCAGAGCATCTCTCTCCTATATACTGTCAATACACATGAAATATAAATGCTGATAATTAAGTTTTATTTGCACCAAATCTGAAAATAAAAAGCCTCATATGTCGTTTTGATCGTCTCTCCACTGTGCAGCATCGGATCTGACAGAGCCAATGAAGAGTATCGACTAAATAGGTTTATTGCTTTGTTTTGAAATTGATTCAGTTTAACTGCACTGTAAGAATATTATCAGTTGCATTTTCCACCGTCTCAAGACATGAGCAGCTTTTAACCGGTGGCAAATCATGCAGCGTGGATTACCCTGACACGGCTCACTGGGCTTTATTGTTGGGAAACCTGAGAGCGTATTTCATATTAACTTTGCACTTTGTACCTTTGCAATGGTCTGCTCCATCTGCGTCTGAGTGAGGTTGGGAAGTGTAGTTTTCAGATAGTCCACGATGCTTTCAAAGCCGTCGCATTCCACTATCTCCCCCTCATGGCTGCTCAGCAGACAGAGGGCCACTTTAAAGATCACTTCAGTCCCCTGGGCAAACACAAAATCTGAAGAAAGACACAAAGACACAAAAATAAAAAAATAATATTTCACCCATTTCACCTTTAAGTTTGTACTTGTTACAAGGCTGTTTGAATATAAACCTCTTGTATTGTGCTGACAAGCATTTGTGTGTGTGTGTGTAAGGAAACACAGGAGCCATTGTTCTAAAAATATACCGAAGATGCGGGACACAAAGCCGAGGGGGAACTGTGAGGCGAAGAGGGTGAGGAACCACGGCGCGGCGTAGAGGCTGGGGCAGATCTCGTGCTCCTCGAAGTGATTGTACAGCTCTCGGTGGTAGTCATGCAGCAGCCTGGAGAGCTGGTACATCTGAACCTGGGAGAACACGGACAGTGTGCACAGACATAAACACAAAAACCGAATACCACACATACAGGTCAAAACATGCTCGGCTACAAAAACTGGAAAATCAGGATCAGCAGGACAGAAGAGTTTAAAGGGCAATCTGAGAATGATACTTGCAGTCAAATGAACCTGTGTCATGTTTTTTGTTTTTACAGACTTGCTCAGACACGTACCAAGGCCAAGAATTTGATGAGTTGTACTGACATTCTGACAACTCTGACAGTGATCAGGCAGCAATGAAATGCACAGCAAACAGAAACGAGAAGCAGAAGTGAGGTCGAGCCACACTGTTATCACTCTTACAGTTTCCTGGTAAAGTTTCCAGATATAACAAGAGTAATACCTCCACGTCCTCGTATTCAACCAGTGCACAAAGAGAAAAACAAAACAAAAACGTCCCCCGTTCTTTGAGAAAACTTTAACTGCGGCTTTGCTGGGAGAAGCAGGATCTGGCAGTGCGGCTAAATGCTTACCTGACGCAGATTAAACATTACCACGCCTGCCGAGGATTTCAGCCCAGTGAGCTGATGTTTAACAGAGGCTAACAGAGCAGGCAGGTGTGGTTTCAAGAAGAGGTGGAGACACTCCACTACTGTTTGCTGTGGATTACTAACAGCCCACAGAGGTGAGGGAGGCGTGCTGGGCTCTTTACAGCAGGCAGATGAGAGATAAAAACTCAAAGTGCAGTAAGAGTCCAGTAAATAGGTTATAAACTTACATACAGGACTAGAACGGCACTCAGTGGAGCACAGAGCTCCACTAGAGCCTGACTGTAAATTCAAACAAGCCTTATAAATAAGGCACATTACATAATCTCAGCTACACATTGGTGGTAGTTACAGGTTTGTAGCTCCTTGAAAACCAGAATGAAACTATATGAAACCACATTTAAATCTGCTAGATACATATTTTTATTTGGACCTGCACTAACTTTGACACTCACAGATATCAGTTTTTCTTTCCATCAAGATTCATGAATTATTCCCTTGGAAATCAGTGAAAATGTCAATAAAGCACTAACTAAAGGATTTAAATTGCACTTTCTTTCGATAGTTTTGATGTAATCCTGCTGACAAACCAACCAACAAACAAGAAACGACAACATAACCTCCTTCGCAGAGGTGATAACATTTTACGTGTAATTCCAGTACTTTTAAACCTAAACTCTATTTTTATAATGTAAATGGAACCTATAAAAACATTTGAATTATCACATTTTGAATTATCACCTCCACCAACACTGCGACAGAGGCAAAAATAGCCAGAGGACCTTTTGTGGGCAGTCGCACAGTTGAAAAAGAAAAAACAAATTTCCAATTAAATCACTATGTGCTGACTCTTTACATGATTATATATATATTTTATAATAATGTATAATTCTGAACTCCAATGCTTACTTTACTCTGCACATTTTTTTCAAAAAGAAAAATAGCAATACTGGTGAAAATATACGTTACTGTTTAATCTCTTTAGCCTTTAGTCCTAATTTTGCATCTTTTTTAGAATCCAGGTGGCTTCAATGTTGAGTGAATTAATCCTTTCACATGAACAAGAGGACAGATGTTAATAAAACAGTTTATTTTAAAAAAGTCTGTTGAAAACAATACATATCGTAAACCCTGAATTATCTTGCAGGAGTGACATGTGGGAGTTTTGTTTCCACAGAGTAATTCATAAAAATCGAACACACCGTTAAAGAAGCCCATCCATCCACTGACCTGCAAAGAGACCATGTCGGGTCTGTACTGTCGCCTGATGCCGAGGTCGTACATCAGGAACTTCAACATGTCAAAGGCCTGCTCTTCACTCATGTGCAGCAGCAGGACTCCAGCCACAAAGCTGATTCCCTGGCAGTAGCCAACCTGTGCGGCACAGAGAAACCATTTTTCATGACGCACCCGACACTGTGGCCTTACAGTGATTTACTGCGGGCAACAGGATCACAGTGTGTACCTCTGTGTCCAGCAGAGAGTAGGCTTTCAGGAGGTTGTAGAGCGAGAGCTGCCCTGCTCCCAGCTGGGCTGAGAAGTACTGGTGGGTGGGGAAGGTCCTGCCTGAGGAGGGGGACACAAGATATTCACTCAATGTTCCTCAACAGTTTCATATAATAATCCTATGACACCTTCAGCCAATAATACGATTTTTCTATTTTATAGAGCTGAGGCTGAAGTTCGTCCTTATTTATAATCGTGTGCACACCTAGATCCACCAGAATGGCGTGCTGCTGTGCGGTGAGCTGCTTCAGGAGGTCCTGGTAGGGTGTGTCCGGGCAGTGCTGACGCTGGGGGAGTCTGTGATGCAGACGGTACTGATGGGAGAGGAGCAGCCAGACCTCCCCACGCCTGCTCTTGGGAATACCTGTGCACAAATACAAAGATTACAGTGGCGGAGTAAGGATTTTTCTAAATTGGGGCCATAAAGGGGGCCTCAGAAGGGTCTATTATATGTCCAACAATGTGCCCCAGGATCCACCTCTTCATATGGTTATTGAAAACCCCACATGTGTTTTGGTACATCAGTAATCACGTCTTCACGTCTCATTCCTCTGACTTTCCTGCACAGAACAACACACGTGCACACACATCTTTCACCTTGGCAGACAGCGTGATACACCTCCTCCTTGTCTTGCAGGACCGTCGTTCGGCCCGGGGCTGTCAGTTTTCTCTCCCACAATGCCTGTGCATCCTTGGAGCACTGGCCCACTTCCTGGTAGTTCAGCTTCATCTTGCGGATGTGCAGCTCATCTCTGCTCGCTGCAGCGCGACAGTCACCCGAAAAAAGAGAGAAGGGGATGAAACAAATGAAAGGAACATATTCAACGTCATTTCGTCAGATAAGATTCTCTTGTCGTCCCAGAAAACCAAGACCAGCAAAGGAGGCCGCACTAGAAAAGCACAAAGTCCTTCTGTTTTGTTTTTTTATGCCTTAGTAGCTGAATAACAACATCTTACGTCACCAGTTGCCATGGGAAGACTACACAAGCCACAATATCCACATTAACATCAACATCTTTATTAAGTTGAAAACATGATGGAGACGCGAAGAGAGATACAACAAAAATACCATAAAGCACAATCTTCCCTGAACATGCAAACAATATTTAAAAACCAACACCCAGAATCATGCAAACCATCTGACGTCCATCCCAAGAGCTCCTTCTTATATCTCTTACCTTCTATTGAAAAGTGTTATTCACAGTTAGGTTCTCAGACCAGCATTGGTGTCACAGTAGCAAACAAAAGGAAAAAGATGTGTTGGTACAAAGAATCATAAAGACGACAAGCTAATATAAAAACGTAGATAATCAACTTCTCCACATCTTCTCCCTATTCCTGCTCTTCTTTTTAACTTCCTGTTAGGAGGAATTGTAGGGGGGGACTGGAGTTGACCATTAATATCTTGAGCCAGCAGAGGGCAGTGTTTTTTACAAATGGTGCTGTGTAGCATGTCCTTTTATTGAAGTCTGAAATATTAACATTGTTACACAGGTTTTCCCATGAAGAAGAGTTGGTTTCATGCACTTCATCCACTGAATTCATGGATGTTTGAGTTTCTGCATATGTTCAAATGTGTGTCACTGTGTAACACCACAACCAGCAGCATTTCACTTCTGACCATGAACAGAAATGAAAAGTTAAAGGCTTCTGTCCCCGTCCACACTCATAAAGCCTCAGTTAGCAACAAGACTTTAAGTGTGAGAGCGTGTCGTGATGAGTGAGTGGGAAAGTTTAATGGCTGTAATAAATATCTTCACAGGCAGATACATCAACAGTGAGACCCAGTGTGAGCAGCCGCAGCCTCATGACACAGAGTGGAAACCACCAGTGTCTGCACATAAACAAATGCACTGAACATCAAATAATCCAATCACAACAAGACTGCAGACATTGTGTTCCTCCTGTTTGTTGTTCATGTGACCTCGTGTTCTCATAGTTATTATGTGCACAGTAATGACTGATGCTTACCCTCCAGTCTCTGGTTCTCTTTCTCCATGCGCAGCAGAAGGATCTGCTGGTGGATGGCGGTCTTCCACAGGGTCCGGTAGTCGGCGGCCATCTTCTTAGGCCGCTCCCCGGACAGCAAGACCCCCGTCGACGGCAATGGACGCCCCAAAGGGTCCAGACCGGAGACCAAGTTGCGAGGAGAGAGGGGCAGCAGCTCCCTGGCATCGGAGTGATCTACAACACAACAAGCATAAAACATCAACAGAAAGTATTACATTATCATTTGTTTGTTTTGTTATTGAAAAAAAAATTTGGGGGGATCACTGGTGGAATGGTCTGTTCTATTAAAGGGGAAACACTGTATAATTTGTGTAAAGCTCTTTGGATACAGACAAATAAAATGCAAACCTGTCTTTGGGGCATATGAGGACAGGAGCTTTATTTATTTTAGGTTGTTCAGACTCAGTTGTTGTTGTTGAAAACACGTCACCAGATTCTTTGCAGCATCGTCACTTTCATTCTAATTTGTTTGAACCTAGTGCATCACTGCTCTGTTTAAAAGGGCGATAACTAGAAAATGAAATCAGAAAAAGCAAGACTTGGTTTGCCAACATGTTTTTAGATTAGATGATTTTAGGTTTCTCTATGACTCCCTGGGTACGCTGAAAGCCTAATGAACAGGTCATGGGAACAGGGAGGAGGATCAGTTTCACAAGCTCCTTCGTCAGTGTTTTTCCTACAATGAAGAAGTGTGAAAATACTTTTTCTTTCTACTTTTACTGATTTTCACATGAATGCATTTAACAATAAATTGTTATGTTTCAAAAAAAGAAATCAAGCGCTCCTCCTGCCTTCTACGCTTCTATGCACTTGTAGATAATTAAGCGTTTATCCATTGTGCATCATGTTGTGTCTCGTCTGAGCTGTTGGAGGGATTGTGTTACCAGACCTTGGTGTTGCATGGATGCAGATGGTTTGTTCATAGGCGAAGCGACCCTCAGGAAGATCCTCTGTCTCCAGGAGACCCTGCGTGGGGTCAGTGTGAGACCTCCGCCTACCGAGTCGTTGCTGCAACCAGACAAGGTCCTCTTCCTGCCCTCCCCATTGCTAAAAGTAAGGACGGCAGCGTCAGGTGTCGGCTTACATCAACTGTTCTTTAGCCCTTACTCACACACACACACACGCGCACACACACACACACA